ATCTGCCACCTTTTCGAGCATAATCCGCTGGTCCCTAATGAGTTATGGAGTGATAGTGGCTGGAGAACCTCATTAGATCAGATTACTGGTTACGCCATCGAAACCTATCAATTTCCTCTGTATGTTCTGCTGCGTAACATGTTATCGTGTCTCATTCTTTCACATACTGATCATATATGTATGTTTTTAGCATTGTATTCAGCAGAGTGATGCAATTTACAAACAGCTAGATCATTGTCACATTCATGCGCATTGGCTGGTTCATAATGCACCACAGGCTGAATATAGTTATCGTTCACGACATCTCTCCTGAGGTGCGTTGGACACACATTTCTAACCGTTTGCTCGGAAATGCAGGTTCTAGGCGATATCCCGTTAGTAGGAAATGCCCGTGCAAGGCTATAATCTCTGTTAGGCCACACCAAGTTCTCTGTTACTTGGAAATGTTGGTTCTAGGCGATATTATGCAGTTTGCATACCTCAGTCTGGCATGCTGAAATGTTCAAGTCCACGCTCCACGACTGCCTTCTATATTTGGATTTCGTTGATCTGGCAAACAATTGCCGCTGCTTTTAACACTATAGTTAGCACCGACATGATTTGCTTTTTATCTGGACAGTGTATTTGTGTGCTATTCTGACATGGTTCTTGTGTCATGTGATCAAGAACACTGCTTTTCTACTGTTCTCGGTTGTGTGTGCGTGTCTCTGTGTGTGCACAAGTTGCTATGTCTAACATAGCTGTTCGCTATCATCTCTCCTGCGATGGGCATGTCTGAGTGTGTGTGTGGGGGGGGGGGCTGTTGCCAATCTGTGAGTGTGGGTGCTGTTGAATGGTGTAATCCCAGCACAAGTTGCTATGTCTAACATAGCTGTTCGCTATCATCGCTTCCGCGATGGGCATGTCTGAGGTCTGAGGTGTGTGTAGGAGGGGGGGTGAAGGTGCTGTGGCTTGTTTCAGAGTGTGTGTGTCGGGGGGGGGGGGCTTTATGTAGTGTGTGTGTGGCTTTCTGGACAATCCGATCAACGATATTTCCGAGGCCAATCAGGGGCGTCGAGGAGGTATTTTAAAGTGGTACGGTCAACCATTTAAAGTACAATGGAGCCACGAGTTGGGGTGCCTTCTCTGAAACATTTCCAAAATGAAGAGCCCAGATTAGTGCTTTTTGTTGATTAACAGGATACCCTGGACAAATAGTGGTATGGTCAATATCGTAGTGACCGTAGCGTGTTCGACTCCCCTGCCAATACACATACTCTCGCATATCCCGTCACTGTTCCGAATCTCCGTACAGTTATATCCCGGGGCAAATAGAACTTGGTATTGGTTTCTCTGATTTCGTGTCAAATTCCTATGAAAATTGTCTAAATACTGCATGGTGATGATATGAAAGGAGTCGGAGGGCGGTCCAGGGCAATCAGACGCAGTACTTGTAAGTTGTAGCTTGTAGAAACAAGCTAGGGCAGCTACTGTCCGTCTGATTGCCAGACTGGGCAGGATTGCTCCCGGACCGACGATTCTGAGGGCGTTGTGCTGGACTCGGTCCAGTCGGCTAAGGTGGCTGGATGACGCTCCAATCCAGATAAGTGGGGCGTACTCCAGCAGCGGACGAACGAACGCCTTGTACACGGTTATGCGCCCAGCCGGAGGGAGAAGATGAGCAGACCGACGCAAAAGACCAAGTCGCTGCCTTGCCCGGGTTGCAACAGACCGGAGGTGCTCCCCAAAAGACAGCTTCTGGTCAAAGATGACGCCTAGGAGGTTGATCAAGTTTGCCTCGGGGACTTGTATTCCACCAAACATGGTTGATGGGAGGTGTAAGTCAGCCGCGGTTGCAATCATTGCCTGGTACTTGGTGGGCTGAAATGCTATCTTCCATTTCTAGGGAAAAAGAAAAAAGAAAACAATAATCATAACAAGCAAGTACTAGTAGAAAGGTAACTACTAAATGGGTCTCAATGTCATCGTCACAGGTACTGTGTGGACCACAGCCATCTCTTTCGGATTAGATCCTTACATACGTTGACCTTGAAGGTTTGGAGGCGTCTTGAATGAGGCTCGTGAAGCAGGTTGTTCCAGGGTGTGACGGCGAAGAAGGGGAAGGATCGCAGGAGGTAGTCTGGTGGATGATGCCCAGCGGGAGGCATACGCAGACGACACCACACTTTACTCCATTGTGTCGAATGGCAGCGCGGCAGGTGCAGCGCACTCACTGCAACTGTCAATCGATCGGCTGCATAACTCGGGCCATGTACCAGTCTATATTATTTTCTTCATCGAAGCACCTGTTATAAGTATATAATATAACCTAACCAGTTGATTATATGGGAAATATATACCTGTATACAAACCGAGGCGAAGCCGAGGTTTGTATATTGGTTTATATTTCCCATATAATCAACTGAGTAGGCTATATTATGCTTATACTGAGCTGATATACAAACTCCCATCTCTCCTTTGCACTAGTTGTAGTAACTGTTGCACTACTTGCTCCGTACAGGTACGGTGAAAGAAAGACTCGTCGAGCCATGGCTGTGGCCCTGTGTGGGTAGGAACTCCAAGACGAACTTCTCTACCTTTGTGGGAGAGATGGGAGGCCCAGAGGAATGCATATCAGAACCAGTTAAGAAATGCCAAGACCCTGTACTTCAAGCGCCTCAGTGAGAATATTCACGATGAGCAAGATGCCCACCTTTGGTGGAAGAAAGCCAAGACACTTGCCAACATCTCCTGTAAGAAAGATAAAGTTCCTGACCTAACGTGTGAGGGCTACACGGCACAGAGCGAACCAGAGAAAGCAGAAATGCTCGCGAAGGTATTTGAGCGCCAGCGCACTCCTGCTCACGGTACAGGTCCAATACCAGCACCAGCCGACGACTGTCCGAATGAATTATTCTCTCTGCCAGTCTTGGCCGAATCCTCAGTGTACCGGGTGCTCCGAAGGCTCCCGCAGCATAAGGCAACAGGCGGGAACATCTCGAACAGGATCCTCCGAGAGATCGCACCTTGTATAACGTCCTCTGTTACCAACCTGTTTAACGCTAGCCTCACCTTAGGTGAGTTTCCTAGTGCCTGGAAGCTGGGAACAGTAATCCCCATATTTAAAAATAAAGGTAACCCGTGTGATCCCTCCAACTACCGCCCTATAACCCTACTCCCAGCTATTGCGAAAGCACTAGACAAGATTGTCGCCACCAAATTCGGTCACTATCTCGAGGTCAACAACATCATTGTCCCGGAACAGTTCGGCTTTGTCCGTGATCGCTCCACAGTTGACCAGCTGATACAGCTCACTACTAAGATCGCATCGACCATGGATAAACGCATCCCTTACGATGCTGCATTTCTCGATTTTGCGAAGGCCTTCGATAAAGTGCCGCATGACGTGCTTCTCCAGCAACTCGGGACTATCTGCGATGCTCCGGCTACGAGTTGGTTTAAGAACTACCTCGATACGCGTACATTCAGCGTCCGCGTCCAACACCATCTGTCCTCCCCACGTCCCGTCAAGTCTGGAGTACCCCAGGGTTCCCACCTCGGGCCATTGCTTTTCCTGGTACATATCAACAGCCTACCCAGAGCCTCGAAACGCAACCAGCACGCTGATGTTTACCTGTTCGCGGATGACACCGCCGTCGGCCAAGCACGAACCAATGGTACCAGCCCAATGGAGACTGCCCTGCAGGACACATTTGCCTGGGCCGACCGAGTAGGCGGTACCTTCAACCCATCGAAAACCGTTGTTATCTCATTCGCTGAGGAAGGAGCTGCAGAGACCATCCGCGGTATCCAGCCGTCAACCAGTCACCGTCACCTGGGAGTGTTGTTGAGTGAAACACTTAGCTTCCAGGAGCATATTGAACAGACAATAAGCAAGTTTAGACAGCGCTGCGTTCTTCTGTGCCATATGGCTGACCGTTTAACAGGAGACATCGTCTCGAAGCTGTACCTTACGTATGTCCGCCCCACAGCAGAATACGCCGCCCCAGTTTGGGAGTCCTCCCTCTCTGCTGCACAGCGGCTCACCCTTGAACGGCTGCAAGCCAGAGTAGCTCGCACAGTCATGCGGCTTGAGAGATGCCCTTGCCCATCAGACGAGCCCAAGTCATCATTGTTTAAACAGCTGGGGTGGCCAAGTCTATCCTGGCGCAGGAAGATCGCCTGCCTTATGGAATTCTTCCATTTGGTCACCACCCAACCAGAACTTTTTGAAGCAGCGGGATACTGCCCCACGCGTAGTCGCCGCCGCCAACTCGCATTCACTCTGCCACGGGTTGGGAAACACGCCGGGAGGTCATTTCTCTTCCGCACCGCTACTGTCTGGAATGCCTTGCCCGCAGACCTGAGAGCCACAGCCTCGCAGTTCCTGTTTCACAGTCACATTTGCACGCACTTCTCTGACACCAAACACAATGCCACTCCGCACTGGCATGCCTCTGTCCTCCTTCTTTGTGCGTTGCGCTTATTCTTATTAATTTTTGTGTTTCTGTTTCGGTACATTTCGTATTTCAAGGCATACCCCGAGGCTATAGGTATCATTGATTAAAGGACCATTCTGGAACATTCAGCATAATTGTATTTCTCTTGCTAGGCTGTTCATTACGAATTATTAGCCCTCCACTGTCTGCTATCTCAACCCTACAGCCTCCCATTATAATGGAACTCCCTTCAATTTAGACTACGTCTTTGGGAAATCCTCAAATATATATAATAATAAAATAAAATCGCCAGTGATCACGCACACGCGTTGTGACTAGTTCAGTTGCCTTGGTCACCGGTCGGACCCCCCAAAGCTTCAGTGCTGGAGCGGGGTTGATGAGTCGTACCGCAGAGATGACGACCTTGGAGAAGACGCTACATCGGAAGTAACCGCTACGCGCCAAGTTTGAACGCAAAGTGACCGTTACCGGGCGCAGATCTCACCTCGGGCTCGGTAAAAGAATTAAGGACCACTATTGTTTGGTCATTAGAGTCCGTCTCCTTTCCAAAGAAAGAGCAAAATGAGTCAGCCCGAGCCTGTTGCATCTCGATCCCTAATGAGTCAGCCCGAGCCCGTTGCATCTCGATCCCTAATGAGTCAGGCCGAGCCTGTTGAATCTCGATCCCTAATGAGTCAGCCCGAGCCGGTTGAATCAACTCCCAAACGTCGCTTCGGTTCTTCCACGGAGGCTGACCACCATGCCATTATTCAAGCGGCAGTTCCCAAGAACACTCGCAGTGCCACTGATTATTGGTTGCGCATGTTCCGTCAGTTCTGCGAGGGACGCGGACAGGAGGAGGTCATCGATTGGAAAACCGTCAGTGGTGAAGTTCTGTCACCCCTGCTAGCTGCATTCTATGTCGATGCGAAAACGCAGGACGGCTCGCCCTTCTCCACGAATAGTCTCAAAGCGGCACGCGGGGCTCTTCAGCGGCACCTGTCGACTGCTGGGCAGACTATCAACATCTTCAACGACCAGATCTTCTCAAGGGCCAACAAAGTTCTTGACGGAGTGCTGAAACAGCGAAAGAAGGACGGCCTCGAACGGCAGGTGCATCACAAGCCACCAATATCTGAGGCGGACTGGAAGCTGCTACAGGAATATTTCAGCGGCATCGACGACACCAACGACGCAGTGAAACTTACTTATTACGTATGGTTCCATCTGACGTTGCACTTTTGCCTTCGTGGAGGTGAAATGCAAGCGGCCATAAAAAAGGACGACGTCGTGTTCTTCACTGTTGACGGGAAAGAGATCCTGAAGCTGGGACCGTCGTACATGTCAAAAAACCATCAAGGCGGACTGCGGGGCACGGACTGGTCATCTGCTGGAGTTATTGAAGACCCGCAGCAGATAGCAGCTATCAAACGGTACGTCTCCAAACTACACCCAGATGTTGATCTAATTTTCCAGCGTGCCATGGGTAAACGTGAGCTCTCAAACGAAACTCGCTGTTGGTTTGCCAAATCTGCCCTATCGCATAACTTGCTGTCCACGATGATCGATGATGAAGCGTTTGTCATCCGCAGCTGGTTTGTCCCAGCCTTACACCAACCATTGCGTACGGTCAGGGAGTCGTATAGACCCGGGAGGCGACACGCGCATCACTTGTGCACAACCATGATCGACTCAACGATTCAAAATATTACGACCTGCTCGGTGTGGGACAAGTCCGTACATAGGTCATAGCGCCCGGGAAATCCGTACATAGCGTCGTCTTCGTCCTTTCGCTGAACAATTGTGGTCAGACTTTCGATCGCCATTGCCGAAATACAGCCATCTGTGGCCATCGCTGAGGAGTTCACTAATACAGGGTCTTGTTCACTGGCTTACTCACTGGCTTTGCACTGCCACTCGAACTCTGAGGCACTTTGACCACCTAAGATGAGGTAATCCTTTCTTTACAAATTGCCTCAATATTTTCTCACCTTTAGGGCAATGAAGTAATTTTTTTCCTCGTGACTAACTTCGACCGACCAAGTTGCCCTGTCCCAGTGATCTACAATACTTATATTGCATATTTGTGAAATATTGGACCTATCCAGATAAACGAAATGACTTTTATTCGAAATTACATTTTCCAAAGTTTTCCTTCACAAATAGTCCCAATTTGTTCTCCCCTTTAGGGCAATGAAGTAATTTTTTTCCTCGTGACTAACTTCGACAGACCAAGTTGCCCTGTCCCAGTGATCTACAATACTTATATTGCACATTTGTGAAATATTGGACATATCCAGATAAACGAAATGACTTTTATTCGAAATTACATTTTCCAAAGTTTTCCTTCACAAATAGTCCCAATTTGTTCTCACCTTTAGGGCAATGAAGTAATTTTTTTCCTCGTGACTAACTTCGACAGACCAAGTTGCCGTGTCCCAGTGATCTACAATACTTATATTGTACATTTGTGAAATATTGGACCTATCCAGATAAACGAAATGACTTTTATTCGAAATTACATTTTCCTTCACAAATAGTCCCAATTTGTTCTCACCTTTAGGGCAATGAAGTCAATTTTTCTTCAGGACTAACATCGGCTAACAAAGTGGCGCTGTCCCAGTGATCTACAATACTTATAATCATTGCACATGTGAAATATTGGGAGTCACAGAGTGAGGAAATGGCCTAAATTGAAACTTGAACTGTTCTGCCAAGTTTTATGCAGTGAACGCAGGGCTGAGAGCCCGCAAGAGCCATCCCGGAAGATCGAATGTTCACAAGGTTAGAAGCTCGCACAGATAACACACATTGGATGCTAATAGTAATACAATGCACTCAGGAATGTGTGCAAATACGACAGAATTAATTCCAAATAAAGTCAACAATAACTGCCTCAACACAGTGCCATCAACCTTCCGTATTTTCCATATTTGTACGGAAAATCACTACTTCGTCCACGCTATGGATTTTGAGAAAAATGTACGGAAAATTGAACGGGATTGATCAGTATGTATAAGCATTGCAAGTGCAAGCTGAGCGATGAAAAGAAGAGAACCGAGTGGAAAGAAAACGCTGCAGTGGAGAGTCCTTGGAAAAGACTTAAAACATATCAATAATATCGCTGCACGAGATCATCCTTATAAGTTATAACGTCAGCTGATCGTACTGTGGTTGATTCATACGGCGGTAAATACACACCTGCCTACACACGCTCTCTAAACTGAAAAGTTATTCTGGCACAGAGCTCTCCTTCCCGCCACCACCACCACCATCATCAATTCGCGTCTGGCGCCTAGTCGATGCAGGGTGAGTGGTGTCCGACATAGCAGGCTGGTACATCAGGTAGCGTATGGCGCATAGCAGATGACACAGCAACAACATAGCTTGATTGCGACGTACCTTTCGTCCCGGCTGGACTCATCAGGCAATCTTCTTCTTACATGTCTTCACAAGGAGCTTGACTCGGGAGAATGAAGTTGAAGACTCCACTGCAACTGCACTTATGGTTGGTTCATATGGTGGTAAATACACACCTGGCAATATGGGGGTAAATACACGCCTGCCCAGACACGCTCTCTAAACTGCAAAGTTATTCTGGTACAGAGCTCTCCTTCTCACCACCACCAGTCCAGCACCACCATCAGTTCGCGCCTGGCAGGTCCACCACCACCACCACCATCAGTTCGCGCCTGGCGCCTAGTCGATGCATGGTTAGCGGTATCCGACATAGCAGGCTGGCACATCAGGTAACGCATGGCACATAGAAGATGGCAACGACATAGCTTGATTGCGACGTACATTTCGTTCTCTTGGTTGTGCTGTAGCCTGAAAAAGGAAATAAGACAATGCATCCACATGACACAGACAAGTATTATTACTGTTACAAATAATGCATACTGCTTGATAACAGAGAAAGAAAGTCAGTGGTCACACAAGTTTTTGGTCGTCCCTGAAACGAAGATCGTTCCAGGGGGGGGAGCTAAAATCTCAGTCGACTGACGCTAGGCATACACATGTACATGCATGCGATTTTCGTCGTCCATTCATTTCGGAGGGTGGAGAGGAGGTCCGAGTACGAAATGAATGATGTTTTTTTCAGGGATGACTACCGTACTGGCAATATATGTTGCCGCGTAACGCGTAACGCAGGGGGTGCGGCGTAACGCGCGACCAGGCTAGTGCGACAAATTTTCGTTGAGTTCGTAACGCGCGTCCGGCGGGGTGCGGCGATCTTTTCATTGCAGTTTGCACTGCACAAGAAAAAATGATGCGGCAAAAGCAAAAAAAATGATGCGGCAATAGCAAAAAAGTGATGCGGCAATAGCAAAAAAAGGACTGCGGCAATATAGAAACCTGTGTAACGGCTCCGGTCAGCTCCTGTGCGACTTTGCATGTAACGCCCTGCGTGCGGCAAACATGTGCCAATGTAACGCTTCATGGCCTCACTGCGGCAACATATATTGCCAGTACGGTAATCACTTTTGCGATGACCCCTTATTGCATCAATTTATCGTCTGAACTGCGCAATTGAGTCCCACTTTTATTATGTTGGGTCCAGATTTCAAGACTCGTGAAGTTCGAGGCGAAAAGCAGGCCGATGAAGGGACGCCAGTAATTCAGTCTAGTCCGGTGTCATGGAGAGGGGCCGATGAACCGGCAACAAGAGAATTCAATACGCATGCTACTCTTCAGTTCATTGCTGGGGAAGACTACTCAAGGCCACGTCACTCCGGCAATTTAATGTACAAATCAGCAGCAACACTTGCAAACGTATTCCTACCAGCTGACCAGCAAGTTACCAGCCATCAGCTCTTCCAATAATTTCAACTTAACAAAGAGAGGAGATGGACAGATCGGAAAGTATCGTGGCAAGCTCAGGACAACACACGTCCGGCCCTATGTAACAACAGTGGAAAGTGCGTGCCATGGTATATTTTCGAAGGCATATCAAAAACCAGCTAATGTGGACTGGGAGTCCATTTGCATCGTCCGATCAGCTGCTACAAGTGCCGTGAGCCAATGGCAAACACGTTTGACAGAGATTACTACCTCTACTGAATGCAACTTTGGCATGGCAGAGATCTACAAGCACGTTATCTTATCTATCAATAGAGTTGTATCCTCGTATGACTATGTGAAGTGTGAGGTCGTACTGCACTGCAGACGCGTCTACGACCTGGTTGGAAATGTACGCAACAGTTCCCACCCTCTTGACCAGAGATCGCACACACCCTAGGGTTTTGATGGGTTTGTACGACTCCCAGCTCTTGACTTTCGTTGGGTGTACGAGACGCACGCACAGTTTTCTTAGGGTGAGTACTTTTTCATGTAGTACTGAATGCGGCAAGCAGGACTCGCCCATCCGCCCCTCCCCAAATGGATCTACTCGAATGGTTCCGGAGGTACGGATGCTCTGGCGGGATTTTACGACATACACAAGCGCGAACACACGCACACAATATACACACGCACGCACACACATACACACGAACGCACGCTATGTCGCACGTCTTGGGCATGGCTTCGTGAATACAAATAATATTTTAATGTTTAACCCTCACACCACAGAAGAGATGAGCCAGTGGGGTGTCGCAAGCTTATATTGAACGTGAGCACGACATGATTATTGTGATCATGATGACGTATAACATAGTTCGCGTGAAATGATCGGACTGGGCCGTCTAAGGCCGCCCATCTGTAACATAGTATGATAGGAACAAATAACGCCATCTATCGGCTATGAAAGAGCGTTTGAAAGACGACCCATGGGGTCATGTAACAATCATAAAGGCTGGGTGTACCAGTACATTGCTATGGCAACTGCATGACCACTAAGTACTCGGTAGTACCCACAAGTATATTAATTGTATTGTCTGCGGCAGCCGATGGATGTGCACCATGCGGATTTCGTGCCCAGGGTGCGTGCGCAATTCATCATGCAATACATCAATGTGGTCGGCCGAGCCCGTGCCTCCCCTCCGTCCGGTAGGCGTGGGCGGGTGGGAAACAAAATTGCGTGGCGAGCACTCGCAGCAAAACAGACAACTGGCAAAATTACACCAGCCAGCAGTAGATGAGCCGTCTACGGATGCATCCGCCAGGCGAAGGGTGGCTCATACGGGATGTCGTACGCGAGTGCGACCCGAATGCGGAACTCTGCAAGAGTGCGTGCTTGCGCAAGTCGGCTGCGGCGGCACGGCGGAGTGCGTATGGTCACCTAAAGTCATCTTGCGGGAATATTCCCCTGCGGGGGCGCGGCCCGTGGCGTGCTGGTTAACTACGGTTAGCGCAACGCAAACCAACATTATAATTTATAGGATCCAAATGTTAGAGCAGCTTTACAAAACCTACCGTTCAATACCGGATCATCTTGTGACAGCTTCCTTGCAACACCCATGACTTGACCCCACTTCGTCTTGACGTCGGGAAATCGTTCACACCGGAGTTGGGACACGACTCATTGAAATCCAGGCCTATCTGCAGCTGGGAGCAGGACAGAGCTGATGGACGTCAGCAGCGGCTGTAGAACAACCATAAACGAGTCTTCTTTCTCCGCAGTCAGGCGGGACAGCAGCTTTGCAACGCAAGCTTCTTGCCTTCTGTGGGTCTTTAGCGGCTGGGATTCGGAACGCTCTGTAGAAACCATTGAACAAGAGTACGGCACTCTATCAACCCACAAGTATTTCTTCCAATTCATGATTATTCGCAACTTTTTATGCAGTACGCGCACCAGATCAGAAGCCGCTAAGTAGCAAGGTTGAAAGTTTCAAGACAAATAAATTGAAAAATATAATAACATAGAAAATTAGAATTCAAACCATACCTGTGGCCCAAGCCAATACAGACTGAGCGTTCACGCGAAGAGAACGTACATCTACGTCAGCTGAGGTTTCCTTAGGATCAGGAGGTGATTCTTGACCCGGATCTGGATCGCGATCAGCAGCACTCTCTGCCTCAATCACGATCATCAAATGCAACTAATTACTTGGAAAAGTAGTTCATTCTTCTTCTACTTTTCGAGCTACGATTTCCCACGATCCTATCGATCCTGCACGAGTCCGTTCCCCAAGGAGTGCACTCCCAAAATCCCATGGCATAAGTACGCGGAGTAGTTGGTTTATAACTCAGGGCACGCACCGGGGATATCTGAGTGAAAAGTGGGAGAAAGTGCCGCGAGTCAATCATAGTCGGCCCGGAAGGCCTCGTGTCGCCTCCCGGGTCTATACGACTCCCTGGTACGGTCTACTTCGATCACGCACCTGAAGCAAGCCGGCATACAAGATGGCCAAATCTGCAGTGTGTCTGGCCACCGGAATGTACAGTCGTTAGAAGCCTACGATCAGCCATCGGTGAGTGATTCTGTTTCTATGGCTGCTGCAATTTCTCGTAAGCAAGCTTCTGCTACATGTAGCTCTGATTCTGCTGCTGCCGATAGCGTTTCTTTGGCTACTGGCACTTGTATGCATAACCAGTCAACGACTCTGTCGTCTGCTGCCATTTCACCCTACCTCAATGCAACTGGTTCATCAGCATTTCTAAACTGTCCAATTACGTTCAATATACATGCTGAGCGTGCCTCCAAAGCCCGAGCTATGCTGAAGCGCAAGCACTCTTAACCATTGTTCTGTCCCCGGGGAAAATTGCAATTCCGCGGCCGCGTTTTTTTCCGCGTTTTTTGCGATTTTTAAAAGACCGCGTTTTCCGCGATTTTCCCGCGTTTTTTGAACTTTTTTGTTACACTACACGTCCACACAGTGCACTGTTCGGTCAGCAACGTCTCATCGTGGCGGCTTTTTACTCAAATATGATGAGTGCTTACACCAGAGACTTGTAACTGATTGATTTCACTACATACTCACTGAAAATTGCCGCACATCAATATTATTCACCGCATTTACCGCAAATTCACCGCAAATTATGCCATATTATGCCGCGTTTTTCACCGCGTTTTTTGCGATTTTTTTCCGCAATTTTCCCCGGGGACAGATTGTTTTGGCGCAGAGACGGAGGTTTTCCCACTCTCGACAACTGAAATGGCCTAGTGCAGCATTTTGATATACTTGAGCTCAAGCCTGCTTTCTTCTGTTGTTACCGTACTATTCCACCCTACCCCAGTGTTATTTTCTGCCATAACTAAACTTCACAAATGCTGAATTACTATCCAGTCCCCATCATTGGTCCTTCATCGCTCATCTTTCTTACTGTTGCCCTAGTCTGATCCTAAAAAAAAGGAGTTCAGTTTATACACCAGTCTATATACCAGTTTATACCTCACTCCATATTCACCCACATACAATTGGCCATCTACATAAGTGGTGAATATGTATATAATATAACCTAACCAGTTGATTATATAATACTCATAAAAAGGACACACTTCAGGCTCATTACAAACATCTTGAAAGTTTTTGTCTTCACAAGTATACTTTCAAGCCTTCTCATCAGGTGAAATACAGGCAAGGGAAAAGGAACAGGAACAGTGGATTAAATACAGTAAGAAGGTGGTAAAACAGCGCAAAAAGAAAGAAAGAAAGAAAGAAGATAGCTAAAGTAAACAGCGAAAATTGCAATAATGACACAAAGGTGCAAATGCGAGAAAACTCAATAAGCGCGACATGTAGTGCGACAACAAGAGACAACCACTGGACATACATGTAACTAACGAGGTTTTGACGACCTACCTAACAGCCTAAGTGTGAATTTGATTTGTTTCTGCTTGCAAAGGTTGGGTTTCCTTGTGTGGATGTATACAGCTTCCAAAACATTCAGCAATCTAGCACTGCGTACGCGTGACACAATCGAAAAACAATCATCCGAATACACAGCACGACAATCAGGATGCTCAAACAAATGACTAGCAATGGACGACTCATACTTATCAGAACTAACATCAGAACAATCAGCATGTGCGGTGGACACATCCGATTTCACATGGCTAGTCGAGTGGACCCTAGCCGTTGCCTCTGTCTGTGCTTTAGTCGCTGCCATCGCCGCCGTTGCCGATCTTGTCATTCTTCTGGTTGATGCGGTTCCTGTCACTGCCACGCACGTAGGTGTCTTGTCCGGTTGTTTTTCTGGTGGTCTAGTTAATTGTGAGGTGACGTTGCTTGGTGTTGATGCCGCTGCGTTGGACCATCTTGTACCAGGATGATTCTTTGCTGGACGTCCCCTCCGTGGTCGAGTGGATCGTGCGTGTTATGGAATAAGGTGTAGCGGTGCGTGTTGTCGGATGCGTGCGTCCAGATGTTGAAGAGTCCTACCTACATATCGGCTCTCACATTGCCGACACTCGAAGTGATAAATCAACTTGGATAATTGGCCTGTAGGTAGGACGTCCTTCCTCACCGTGAACGCACGCACCGTGGAGTAGATGAAGCGAATATGAACATTATGGTAATTGGACTCCACGGCAGACTTAACCCGACGCTGAACCATACGTGATACTGACTCGCCCTTCCACGGTAAACATAGGTATACTGGATTAGTGGAAACTTCAGCATTCTTCTTTGGACTGGTCTCAGTGACATACTTCACAATAACAGACTCGGGGTATCCATTGAGACGAAAAAGCGCACGTAACTTCTCCAACTCCTGCTCCAACCTTGAAGACGAACAAAGGCGACGTGCACGATCCACCAAATTACGCAACAAATTGATCTTATACAGTGTCGCGCAAAACGAATCCCAAACAATGTACAAGCCAGTGAACGTAGGCTTGCGATAGACCGACGTGACAACACCACCATCAATTGACTTCTCAACGAGCACATCAAGAAAAGGTAGACGATCTGACTCCTCAAATTCACACGTGAAATCCAACATACCATCAACAACCTTCCTCAGCAGATCACGAAATTGGAGGCACTGAGCCTCAGACTGAAAATACGAGAAAGAATCATCGACAAATCTCACATACAATGGGGGCATCAAACTAACCGGAATCTGACATTCGTAATAACCAACAAATATATTTGCCAAAACAGGACCAAGGGGCGAACCCATAGCAACACCATCAATCTGTCGATACATGACACCATCAAAGGAAAACTCCACACCTGACGTTACCAAGCGGATCATTTCGCGGAACGAATCTTCACGTAACTCGCCAGGCGGACATAGTGAGCGATGATATAGCGTTTCGCAGCAAATATCAATGACTTTATCCAAAGGGACATTTGTGAACAGACTAACAAGGTTAAGAGCACATAACATAGGTATCGGGGAAGGAGTGGTCGCGCAGAATATCGACAAATTGAAAACTATCGCGAACTACATACCGACTGTATAATTCTAAAACGGGTTGCAACATTCTACACAGCCAGCGAGAAATCTTATACTGGGGAGAACCTAACATAGAAAGGATGGGCCGGACAGGACAATGTATGTCCAGTGGTTGTCTCTTGTTGTCGCACTACATGTCGCGCTTATTGAGTTTTCTCGCATTTGCACCTTTGTGTCATTATTGCAATTTTCGCTGTTTACTTTAGCTATCTTCTTTCTTTCTTTCTTTCTTTTTGCGCTGTTTTACCACCTTCTTACTGTATTTAATCCACTGTTCCTGTTCCTTTTCCCTTGCCTGTATTTCACCTGATGAGAAGGCTTGAAAGTATACTTGTGAAGACAAAAACTTTCAAGATGTTGTAATGAGCCTGAAGTGTGTCCTTTTTATGAGTATTATCGCATTTTTGTCTCAGAGGAAACTGTTTACCTAGTTGATTATATGGGAAATATAAACCTGTATACAAACCGAGGCGAAGCCGAGGTTTGTATATTGGTTTATATTTCCCATATAATCAACTGAGTAGGTTATATTATGCTTATACTGAGCTGATATACAAACTCCCCTCTCCCCCACAAGGGTAGAGATTGGAATTCCAACCCACAACCATGGCTCGACGAGTCTTCCTTTCACCAACCCAGTGCGGATCAAGTACAAGACTACCACTGACTCTGTGCAGTACATGCAGTGCAGTACCATCACACACTCTTTGTGACTTCAGTTTAGTACTGAAGTACTAGTTACATCGGAAGTAACAGCTATGCGCCAAGTAAGTTAGTTTGAACCTCACAGTGCTAGTCTGTCCCCGGGGAAAATTGCGGAAAAAAATCGCAAAAAACGCGGGGAAAAACGCGGCATAATATGGCATAATTTGCGGTGAATTTGCGGTAAATATGCGGTAAATATGCGGTGAATAATATTGATGTGCGGCAATTTTCAGTGAGTATGTAGTGAAATCAATCAGTTACAAGTCTATGGTGTAAGCACTCGTCATATTTGAGTAAAAAGCCGCCACGATGAGACGTTGCTGACCGAACAGTGCACTGTGTGTACGTGTAGTGCAACAAAAAAGTTCAAAAAACGCGGAAAAATCGCGGAAAACGCGGTCTTTTAAAAAATCGCAAAAAACGCGGAAAAAAACGCGGCCGCGGAATTGCAATTTTCCCCGGGGACAGGCTAGTGACCTTTACCGCGCGCAGATCTCACCGCGGGCTCTGTAAAAGAACCGTTTGCTCATTAGACTTTAGAGGCATAGAGTTCGTCTCCTTTCCAAAGTAAGAGTAAAATGAATCAGCACGAGCCTGTTGAATTGACTCCCAAACGTTTCTTCTGAGGACGACCACGAATCACGATGTCATTATTCAAGCAGCAGTTTCTAAGAACACTGGCAGTGCCACGGATTATGGCTGCGCATGTTCCGTCCGCTCTGCGAGGGACGCGGAAAGGAGAACATCGATTGGAAAACCATCAGTAGTGAAGTTCCGTCGCCCCTGCTATCTGCATTCTATGTCCATGCAAAAACGCAGGAGGAGCGGCACGCGGGCCGGCCGCGGGGCTCTTCAGCCGCACATGTCGAGTGCTGCGCTTGACAGACGGAGTGCTGAAACAGCGAAAGAAGGACAGCCTCGAACGTCAGGTGCAGCACATGGCACATGTTACAAAGGACGACGTTGTATTCTTCATC